TTTGTTTGCTTCTCTTGCCTGTTTTTTTTCTCTCTTCCTAACTCCTCTACCATTTCCTTGTTCAGGCACTCTTTGTGGCTCATTTGGCCAATTGGAATAATCTTAATCAACCTCCTTGTCTTTTCTCTGCCCCCTTCAGTATATTTGGTACGTATCTGCCATAGCAATAGTCCTAAAGCATAGCAACTGTGCTACTTTGTGTCTTAAAAAACACAAAACCAAACCAAAAAAAAGGCTCTTCCCTCCCTACAGTATAAATTCTTAAACGTGGCTAGTCAGACACAGCTGTAAACTTCCCCCCACTTTAGTGATCAACAGCTCTCCATCAGATACTTTATTTTCTAACCAATCTGAAGTATTCTCTATTGTCCCCCTAATGTGCCCTGAATCTAGTTTCTAACTCTTACAGCATCAGGAGGGATGCCCCCTCCTTTGTAAAGCCCACTGCCAGCTTTCCATTGGGAATTAATCTGTCTCCAAACTGAATGCATCCCGAACAGCCAACGCTCACTGTCTTCTGTTGTAACATTTATGCATAGGACTCTTCTTCCATTCTGGGCTATAACTTCTTATACTATTTATCCTAATGTTTTATGACAAGTAGAAATCCAATTACTGTTTATTAAACTGAGTTCTCTCAGCAGAGAAATACCAAAGATGCATCAGGTCATGCACCCCACAAGGTCTCCAAATTGGACCCTTCACAGAAAGAGGAAAATTGCAGCCTGGCCCTTCATCAGACTGTGGAAAGTCTGTGATCCAACTCTGTTCCAAATGATCTTGGTCACAGCTCTCTTGGCTACTGTTCTTGGTGAGTAATTAAGGACAAGTTCAGATAGGCAACAATCAATTCAGAAACGCCCATATATTTTCTTACAGGATTAATAAAGAGATCATTAATTAAATTCATAAAGTTTCTAGCAGAAGTCCAGTTTTAGTAACAAAAATTTTATTGAACAAGCTGGAATTTAAGGGGAATTTGCTTTATACACAGAAAAGGCAATTTTCTAAATACTTCCCCCCTCCAGAGTTCCTTCTCCAGAAACTTCCAAGACAATTTGACTTCTAATAATGACTTGAAACAAATTTGTATTACCTGTCAGCCTGTCTACAAACAGCATACACTGCTGTGTCCAGAACAGGATGTGAGGTGAGCTCTTCTAATGGGGCTCCTAAAAGGTAAATCAGTTCTGTACTTAATTCTTGCTTGTTGTTGTTGTTTGGTGCCATTGAGTCGGCTATGATTCATAGCAAACCCTAGGCACAAGAAAACGAAACTATGTCTTGTCCTGAAACGTCCTGACAATTGTTGTTAGGTTTGAGCCCGTTGTTGCAGCCACTGTGTCAATTCATCTTTTGGGAGTCTTCCCTTTTTTCACTGACCATCTACTTTCTCACATGATGTCCTTTTCCAGGGACTGATCCCTCCTGACAACATGTTTTAAACATGTGAGACTGTGCCTCACCATCCTGGCTTCCAAGGAGCATTCTGGCTGTATCTTTTCCAAGGCAGGTTTGTTTGTTCTTCTGGCAGTCCATGGTACTTTGAGTATTCTTCACCAACACCACAATCAAATGTATCCATTCTTCTTAGGTCCATATTGTCCAGTTTTCATATGCTTATTGTTGTTGATGTTAAGCGCTGTCGAGTCGATTCTGACCCTAGCGACCCTGTATAGGGTTTCCAAGGAGCAGCTGGTAAGCTTGAACCACCGACCTTGCAGTTCAAATGATTTTGCAGTCTGGTACATTAATCCTCAGCAGTACACCCGTGCCACTCACATGCTTATAAGGTAATTGAAAATACCATGGCTTGACTCAGGCACATCTCAGTCCTCAAAATGAGATCTTTTCTTTTTAACACTTTAAAGAAGCCTGTTGCAGCAAATTTGTCCAATGCAATTCATGGTTTGATTTCTTGACTTCTGTTTCCATGAACACTGATTGTGGATCCAAGTACAAAGAAATCCTTGATGTCAGTCTTTTCTCTGTTTATCCTTATGTTTATTGGCTGAATTGTGATGATTTATGTTTTCTTTTCATCGAATTGTAATCCATACTGAAAACTTAGTCCTCTTTGCTTTCAGCAAGCAAAGTTGTGTCATATGAGCCTTCCTCCGGTCCTAATGCCACAATCTTCATCCTACAGTCCAGTTTCTCAGATTATTTGCTCAGCATGCAAATTGAATAAGCATGGTGAAAAGTTACAACCCTGATGCACACCTTTCCTGATTTTAAACCATTCAGTATTCCCTTGTCTTATTCTAGCAATCGCCTCAGTATAGGTACTGGTTGCCTAGTTAAGAGCACAATGAAGTGTTCTGGAATACCCATTCTTTGCAGTGTTATCCATAGCTTGCTATGATGCACACATGACATAGTCAATAAAGTACAAGTAAACATCTTTCTGGTATTTTCTGCTTTCAGACAAGATCCATCTGACATCCACAATGATATGCCTAGTTTCACATTCTTTTCTGAATTCAATGAGACTTGAATTTCTGGCAACTCCCTGCAAGAAACTTCTGCAACCATTTTTTAATTATCTTCAGCAAATTTTATTTACATATGATATTGATGATGTCCAATAATTTCTGCATTCTCTAGGTTCACCGTTCTTTGGAATGGGCACAAATAAGAATATTTTCCAGTTAGTAGCTGCCTCCCAAATTTCTTGGCATAGACTACTGAGTATTTTCAGGGCTGTGTCAGTTTGCTTAAACATTTCAATTTGTGTTCTGTCAATTTCTGGAGCCTTGTTTTTCACTAATACCTTTGGGGTAGTTTGAACTTCTTCATTTAATACCATTGGTTCTTGATCACATGCTACCTTCCTGAAATGGTTGGATGTCAGCCAATTCTTTTTGGTATAACTCTGTGTGTTCCTTCCATCCACTTTCAATGCTTCCTCCATAATTTAACACTTTGCCCATAGAATCCTGTAATAATGCAAGTTGAGCTTGAATTTTTCCTTAGGTTCTTTCAGCTCAAGAGATGCTGGTTGTATTCTTCCCTTTTGGGTTTCTAACTCCAGGTCTTCACACATATTTTACTTTGTCTTCTTGAGCTGTTCTTTGAAATGCTCTGTTTATGTACATTACTTCATCATTTCTTCCATTCTTGTTAGATACTCTGTGTTCAAAAGCGAGGTTCAGAGTCTTTTCTGACATCCACTTTGGTCTTTTCTTTCTTTCCCGTCTTTTTAATGACCTTTTACTTTCTTCGTGTATGATGTTCTTGAGGTTGTCCCACAACCCCTCTGGTCTTCTGTCAAAAGTGTTCAGTGGGTCAAATTTGTTCTTGAGATGGTTTCTAATTCTGCTAGGGAAGCAGACTTAAGATGTTCATGCTTCAAGGGCTCCATGCTTCTTCCTCCATATCATTCGAATTCCAGGAGCTACAAAAGGTATACATTTAAAAAGTCATTCTTTCTTGTCTTCTAATCACTTGTATTCCATTCCCTGAGGCAGATAATGTTGTGCAGTGTCATTATTACTAATGAAACAATGTTTTTCATTAGTAATATGGATGCATCTGAGTCAGTAGATGTCAGGCATCTGATAGACTGATGAGATCTTGTCTGTCATCTCTTAGATAAATTATCTCATATAAACTATTGTTGTTGTAAAATGCCATCAAGTCAGTTCCCACTCACAGCGACCTTGTATAGGGTTCCCAAGGATCAGCTAATGGTTTTGAACCACTGACTTTGCAGTTAGTGGTCCAGTGCTTATATTTTTATGTTGTTATTATTTATACTTATCGTTGTCATTATCACTGGGCTCATTGAACAGTGGGGAGAATAAAGGTTATGACAAAGGGGAACAGCATGATTCCTGTTGTAAAATTCCTATGACTGAAATATTGAGATATTGTATTTGAAGCTATAACTTTGGGTGCTTGTTGTCATTTTTATATCCAGGTGATTGTAATCCCCCACCCAGATTAGATTTTGCGTCTCCAATAAATGTGGTGAATGAAACAAGCTTCAAAACGGGGACTATTCTGAAATATGCTTGCCGCCCTGGTTATAGCAGAGCCAGTTCAAGTATGAATGTTATCTGTAAACAAGGAGGTGTATGGGACTACATCGAATTTTGTACCAGTAAGTATCAACATTTACTTTTCCCACTTGTGCTTTTTCTTTCTTTGGAAAACTGTCACAAGAACTAAATGGTCTTCTGAATGCAAATGAGAATCCTTGATCACTAAGAAATAGTGGAGCATATTGCTGAGTATTTCCAGTGCACCCATGTGTGCCGTTCTTTGAAAAACAAAACAGAAACATTAGGAGTCTATTAATTATACTGAAATATAAATATAAATTTATTATGCACAGATTCATTCCCTGAAGACTGCTTTCAAGAATTGAATTGCAAATTCAAATTTTAAGATAATGGAAGACTAAGATTCACTGTACAAAAGATCATAAACATGTGTCGCTAGAAAGTAGTAATGTATTTTCCAAAGGAATCTCACTCAAAATATTTGCTGTGTTTAGAAGAAGATGCTATGATTCTTCCTCAGTTGGACATACATTTCGAGATAGTCTTCCAGTACTAAGAATGTACAATCTATACCATCTCTTTTGGATCCATTTGTGATCCAAGGGCACTGTATTTTTGAGTGGCCTGAGTTCAAAGTATTTGAAATAGACAAAGAATGAAATAAAGCTTCCTGGTCAACATGTTAAGTCCTGGATTATTGTCCCATTGTTGGTGTCAGTTGTCATCATCAATTCTGACTCCTGGAGACCCCATATGTGCAGAGTAGATCTGCTCCATAGCTTTTTCAAGGTTAGTCTGTCTGTCTTCCAAGGCACCTCCTTTGTTGTTGCTAAGTGCCATTGAGTTGATTCTGACCCATAATGACCCTGTATAGGGTTTCCAAGGAGCTGCTGGTGAATTTGAACCACTGACCTTGCTGTTCAAACAGACCTTGTGGTCCAATGCGTTATCCTATAGCCCCATACCAGGACTCCAAGGTATCTCTAGGTGGGTTCAAACCAACAACCTGTAGACTCATAGTCAGCGGCTTAACCATTTGCCCTACTCAGGAATTCTGATCCGAGAAGGAAAAACTTAATTTTTTTTATTATTTGGAAAAAGTACCTGAAAAAAAAGAATTCAAAATTTGTATTTTTCTTTGCTTCAAAGTAAAATTCTGATTGTTGGAAAATACATTATCACTCTCTATCCACATATCTTTATGATGTTTTGTATAGTGAATCCCATTTTTTTCATTATCTTAAAATTAAATTTGTGTTTCAATTCTTGGAAGAAGTCTTTTGTGAAGGGTTTTGTGCACAATAAATTTATATTTACATTTCAGTGCTTGTGGAAATAAGTTTGTATCTGAACCTATGGGTCTTTCTGGAACAAAAGATGGAAGCTGATCAGCCGTACTTTTTCTCTAATGCCACATCTGTTGAGTGTTTGGAATAACTAATCTGCATTTCATTTTTTTCTACCAGAGAAACGATGCAGAAACCCAGGAGATTTACCTAATGGGAATGTAGTAGTTAAGACAGATTTCTATTTTGGAGCGGAAATAGAATTCAGCTGTTTAGAAGGGTGAGTATGAGGCAATCTAGAAATTACATTTTTATTTCAAATTAATTTTTTAAAAATAGCCACTCTATTCAGGTATTCCAAAATTTAAACAGATAAACATTGGGAATTCTCATCCTCCCCCACTATCCACACATCTCATTCCTTCCTGTCCTCAGTCAGGGATCTACTTTTTAATTTTTTTTCTTGTTTTACATTTTATTAATATCAAGCATGGACTCCAGAATGTTGTAGCGACTTAGATAAACAATTTTATCTTCTAGGCAAAGTCTAGGGATAAAACAAACTGAACAGCAGTTGTCTTAGACCTCTGCCACATGATTCATCAAATGAAGTGAAGCCTTCCTCTGTAAGAAAATTGTCCCCATTGTTTCCCCTTGTTCCTGGTACCGATGCTGACTCCTAATAATCCCACTGTTGTTGAAAGGAACATAGTATTCCCCACTCATCCCTCTCAGCTACAGTCTCCCAATCCCAACTTATTTCCTGGTTGTCTTAATCTCTTTCTACTGCTATAACCAAAAATGCCACAAGTGGTAGCTTTAAAGAACAGAATTTTATTTTCTCTCAGTTTCGAGAAGCTGAAAGTCTAAATTAAGGGCTTGGCAATGTCATTTGCTTCTGTGTAAGACTTAATACATGTAGTTGTTAGGTGCCATCGAGTTAGTTCCAACTCATAATGATTCATTTTACACCAGAATAAAACACTGTCTGGCTCTGTGCCATTCTTAAAATTGTTGCTATGATTGAAGACACTGTTGCAGCCACTAAGTCAATCCATCTCAAGGAGGATCTACATCTTTTTAGCTTATTCTCTACTTTAGCAAGCATGATGTTGTTCTTCAGGGGCTGATCCCTCCTGATACCATGCCCAAAATACTGGAGAAAGTATGATCATCCTTGCTTCTGAGAAACACTAACTTCTTCAAAGACAGATTTGTTCTTTTGACTGACAGTCCATAATATATTCAATATTCTTTATCAACACCATAATGCAAAAGCATCAACAACCCTTCTCCAATCTTTCTTATTCATTTGTACAACTCTCACAAGCACATAAAGCAATTGAAAATACCATGTCTTGAGTTAGACATATTTGGTCTTCAACACTTCAAAGAGGTCTTTTGCAGCACATTTGCCCAATGCAATGCATCACTTGATTTCTTGACTGCTGCTTCTATGGACATTGATTGTGGAGCAAAGTAAAATGAAATCCTTGATAACTTCATCCTTTCTCCATTTATTATGGTGTTGTTTACTGATCTAGTTGTGAGGACTTTTGTTTTCTCTACATTAAGGTGTGTTCCATACGGAATGCTGTATTCTTTGAATTTCATCAGAAAGTTCTTCAAGCCATCTTTCCAGCAAGCAATGCCATCTTCATATCTAAAGTTGCTAAAGAGCCTTCCTCCAAACCTCCAGCTCTTCAAATAGTACAGGTTTTAAGGTTATTTTCTCAACATACATATTAAATAAATTTGGTGAAAGGATATAACCATGGCACACTCTTTTCTTGATTTTATACCATGTAGAATAATCTTGTTCTGTTCTAACCACTTTCTCCTAGTCTATGTACAGGATCCAAATAATCACAATTAAGTGTACTGGAATTCCAATTCTTTTCAATAGTGTCCGTAGTTTGTTAGGATCCACATAATTGAATACCTTTGCATAGTCAGTAAAACACAAATAAACCTCTTTCTGGTATTCTGTGCTTTCAACCAAGATCCATCTGATGTCCAAAATGATATCATGTATTCCATGTCCTCCTCTGAATCCAGTTTCCTGTAGATGTACTGCTATAACCACTTTTGAATTCTATTCAGCAAAAATTTACTTGTGTGTGATATTATATGATATTTGCTCAATAGTTTCAGCATTATGCCTGGTCTCTCTCTCTCTCTCTTTTTTAAAATGTTTTATTGTGAATTATGTGATAGTTTACATGAGAGAACATTAGTTTTACATTCATCCTATCCTATATTGTTTCATTGCCATGGTTACAATCCCCTTCATGCATCATCAACCAACCACAGGGTATACCCTACAAGTCTGCACCCCCCACCCCACCCCACCCCACCCCCAGTCATCAGCACACAGTGCCTCTCCCTCTCTGGGTCTAAAGTTCCCAGCTGCTCCATTTCTCCACATCATTGTCTCTGCCTCCATCTCTGGGGTCACTGCTTCTCTGGATAGTGTGCCGCTCTCCGCACTTCTTGCTACAAAACGTCTACCTTTACATTTCCAACCCTCACAATAAATCCTGATAATAATTATTCACTATTGTATCACAAGAGACCTATTAGCATTTCCTTTCATCAGTCCCGCCTAGACAGATTGGATACTACTCTGTGGAGATTCTACTTTCCTCCATGCCCTCTGGATCTAGGTTCCCTCTTGAAAGCTTGTAGGCCAGTCACTTCTTGCCTTTGTAGCTCCCTCATTTTGGGTACCCAGTGTCCAAGTTGCCAATCTCTGTCTATCCTGTATATGGAGGGGGTGGGAATGATCCTTGCTGTAAAGATTTGTTCCCTCTTTAGAGCTACTGCATTCATAGGTGTAGGTCA